GCAAACAAGACTGCTTTTAATACTAAAGTAAAACAGTCCCTTAGCTCTCTCTTTCACAGAAACGTGTGTCAGAACAATGTGTTCATCCATCACTCGGGGTCTGCTGGTCAGCCCAGGCACCTTCCCAGACATACCTTTCATCATAGTGTGAAGATTTCAAGGAACTAAAGAGACATGTCCACCTGGAGCTTATTCCCATTCTTCTAGATCAGATTCTGGTTTCTAAAACCCAGGAATTTTTTTTCACATTTCTTTGAGAACTTCCCCAATTTTACAAACCTGGCTTTCCAGGATATTTTATATATATATATATATATATATATATATATATATATATATATATATATATATAGTATAATTATCCTACGTAATAAAGAGCTAGTATGGTAATTAGACCAGGCAGTGGAACAATCTTCCAGAATGACCAGTGGGTGGGGGCGGGGCCATGTTACCACAAGGCAGCTACCACCCTTTGCGGGACAATCAATGGGGAGAAGGGAGCCTCCACTATAGATTGCCCAGCAGAAGGTGGTGGCAGCTGAGGCTGCCAGGGCCGAGCCCCTTGCATGAATTTCATGCATCAGGCCTCTAGTCCTATATAATAAAGGGCTAATATGCAAATTGACTGAACAGCGGAATGAGGAGTCACTTTGACATGCACTGACCACCAGGGAGCAGATGCTCAATGCAGGAGCTGTCCCCTGGTGGTCAATGCACTCTCACAGGGGTTGCACCACTCAGCCAGAAGCCAGGCTTATGGCTGGCGAGTGCAGCAGTGGTGACAGGAGCCCCTCCCACCTCCATAGCAGCTCTAAAGACCCTTCAGGGATGTCCAACTGCTGGCTTAGGGGAGCAGGCCTAAGCCGGCAGTCGGACATCCCCTGAAGGATCTCAAACTGCAAGAGGGCACAGGCCAGGCTGAGGGCCCCCTCCCCAATGCACAAATGTTGTGCAACAGGCATCTAGTTATATATATTTATCAACATAGACAGGATAGAACATACTGTATTAAAGTTTTGTTATTTTGTTTTATAACTTTCAAATATTTTAACATATAACTAGTAGCCTTCCTGTTTAAATTTTCTTTTTTTTTAATTGATTTTAAAGACGAGGTAGAGAAAAAGAAAAAGAGAGATGCATGTGAGAGAGATACACCCATTGGTTGCCTCCTGTACATGCCCCAACAGGGGATGGAACCTGCAACCTAGGTATATTCCCTGAGGAATTGAACCCACAACCTTCTGGTGCACAGAATGATAACTCCAACCAACTGACCCACACTGGCGAGGGCATGGACTTCCATTTTTTGCCTCAGTTCCCACAAATGTCAGAGTCAGGTACTTTTCTCTCTGGTTCAGTGATACAAAGGCCCCAAAGTGGCCAAAGACTAGACTTAGCTGTGTTCTCTTTTAAAACATTCTTCCACCGAAACCGGTTTGGCTCAGTGGATAGAGCGTCGGTCTGCAGATAGAAAGGTCCCAGGTTCGATTCGGGTCAAAGGCATGTACCTTGGTTGCAGGCACATTCCCGATGGGGATGTGTGCCGGAGGCTCTCTCTCATTGATGTTTCTAGCTCTCTATCCCCCTCTCTCTTCTTCTCTGTGAAAAATCAATAAAAATATATATTTTTTTAAAAAACCATTCTTCCTTGGGGTACTAGATCTCCAAACCTACTAAACCAAAGTTCATAAGAAGAATAGAAAGCATGAATTTCACCCATAAATTATTTGGTCTTATTGTTAGAGTGACTTTTTCTACTTGGCTTCATCTATTCCAGCTTTAAGATATCCTATATAATAAAAAGCTAATATGCAAATGATCATCATGCCCTCATGCCCACATACCCTTGCATCCCCCGCTCCAGCACCAGGGCTAGGGACATGAGGCTGGGCCAGAGGACCTAAGGCTGTGTCCCACACCCTGGCACCAGGGCCAGGGGACCTGAGGCCATACCCCCCAACCCTGGCACTGGGCCAGGGGGCTGAGGCTATTCTGGGGTACCTGAGACCATGCACCCAGCCCAGCACTGGGCCGGGGGACCTGAGGCACACATGAGTGGGCAGGGACCTGACTATGGGTCCCATGGCACACCCCAGACTCTGACAGGAGGGAAATTTTCATATACATTTTACTAATTTTCTTTCATCTCTGACACTTCTATTATAGAGAAAGAGCAAATATCAATATTAAAATATTTCCTCTAATGAATTCCTTTTAATGTGCATGAATATATATATAGCCACGGGTTTAAGATATGTAGTACATCAAATAGACATCATCTTAAGCTTGCAAGACATTAACTTCCCACTTGGTACAAACATAAGCATTATCTAGGCCATTCTACTACCCTGTTTCCCCAAAAATAAGACAGTGTCTTATATTAAATTTTGCTCCCAAAGATTCGCTAGGTCTTATTTTCAGGGGATGTCTTATTTTTCCATGAAGAAGAATACGGTACACATTTATTGTTAAATGAAAAGAAAGGAAATTTATTACCTGTATACGGTACGGTAGTACGGTAGTTGTCAACACAAACCAGACAAACTGTGAATCCTACAGTATCAAGAACTTACTCATTTATTCAATGACAATCATGTCATCATCTTCTGGAACATCATCATAACAATCCAATTCCTCAATTTCCTGGTGAATTTCTTGTGACTCCATTTCTTTCAGAATCAGTGGACCAAATTTCTCATGTTTAGCCTAAGGGGGCCTTATTCTCGGGAGGGATGCCTTATATTTCACTCAGAAGGAAACATGAAAGAAGGTCTTATTTTTGGAGGATGTCTTATTTTCGGGGAAACACGGTACTCTATCAAGCCAGTTATTACTTGATATTGGAGCACAAGTCCAATGAATTCCATGGTGTAAGCCCATAGTCACACTTCTCTTTCTATAAATATGTACAAATGCAATATTGCATGTGACTCTATATAAAGCAGCAAAGGTATTCTATTAATAAAATGGTAGTGCTGACAGCAGCACTGTTGATGGGAAAGACAAAGCAGTACCTAAAATAAATAAATAAATAAATAATTAAATAAATTTTTATATCATATAAACATATTACAAACTATGAAATATATAATAATATGTAATATTATATACTAGATGCCCCTTGCAGGAAGATTCCTGCAATAGGGCTTTCTGCTGTGGTCTCTGCTGCCCACCTGCTTCCCTCCCTTCTCCACTGCCTCGCTTGCTTGCTTCTCTGCAGCTTCGTTCCCTTCTGCAGCACTTGGCTTCTTTACACTGTCTTCAGTCTTCGCTCTGGCCTGGATATGCAAATTAACCACCATCTTGGTTGAGTAATTTGCATACTCACCCTGATTGGCTGGTGGGCATGGCTTGTGGATGTAGCAAAGGTGCAGTCAATTTGCAAGTTTCTCTTTTATTAGAGAGGATACCTATAGTATTTTCATATATGTATAACTATATATTTTATATATTTACATATAGTTTATATAAAATAGATATTTATAATAAGTATTCATATATACTTATGTATAAATAACTTTTTGTAATATGTATTTATAAAGAATATTTATCCCTATGGAGTGAGATTAGAGATAAATTTCCTATGAAGAGAAGCATTTCCCCATTTTATGAAAGAAGAGTTTAACTTCATTAAATCTACCACAAGGTAGACAGCTAGTCCTCTCAGAGTAGGGTGAGATATAGTACTACACAGGGTGCGGTCCATTTGCTTTGGTGTTGTAAAGCTTGAGCGCTCAGAAGTGATGATAAGCAGATCAGACTTAGCGAGGGGAAGTTCATGTTGTTGATTTTATGCAGAGATGCCGACCATGCTACCATGGCCACTTTAGTGCCAGTTAAGCAATTCTAGAGCAGCTGGGGAAATAAGCTGATTGACATCCATAGGGATAGGTATTTTGTTCCTGTACACTACAGTGAGTGAATAACCTCTAATAGGATTTCACATGGTCATGAATACTGTCGTTTTTCTGTGTTTTTCTGAGAAATCCACCTATATTCCTCTCCCCAGAACACCAATGTTTTATGAGTTTATTCTTTCTTAGGCTCTGAACAACTAAACAAACCATTAGTCCTGCTTACAAATTGGTAAGATTTGCGCCACAAGCCATATTTCCTTCCAAAGAAAGTGTACAATGAAAGGTATTCCCTGAGGTTCTTTCCATTAGAAAGGTTTTCCTTCACCATTATTCTTCAAGGCAATCGCTGAGAAAAGTTTAATGTAATGGCCATTTAGACACAGCATAACATCATAACTATATACAAACCAGGCTGTTTTTTCTCCTCCATTTGGAAGTGATGGGGTCCCCATTTGTGTGGAAAGCTAACATATAGAAATTGTTCTCAATTAAATGAGTTATTCTGTTAGTTATTATCCAAGATCCATAATGTGGGAGTTAGGATAACAGATCCTGAATCCAAACTCTAACACTTTGAGCCAGGTTTATTACTCAATAGACCTTGAAGATCTTTTGTATTTAATTTATTGGAGTGATATTGGTTAATACAATTATATAGGTATTGAGTACAAATGAGCTTGGAAATCTTCTCTCCTCTTGAAATTTTTGGACTACTTTGGTAAAATTCACCTATGAAGCAATCCAGTCCAGGACATTTGCATGTTGAAAGTTTTATTATTACTGCTTCAAATTCATTAGTTGTAATCTGTCTATTCATATTTTCAAATTCTTTCTGATTCAGTTTTGGAATATTGTGACCTTGAGAACATTTAACACCTTTGTGCCTCAGATCCCTCTGTTGTAAAATGGGAATAAAGAGGATATCTGCTTTATAAAATTCAAGGTAAAACACTTAAAGCAATACCTAGACTTAGACTGCATGATTTCTGGGTAAAGAAAACCTGCACACATATTTTATAAATATTTTCTTTTCTATTTGTTTAAATATTTTACATTTATTTTTGGGGGAGAAACACAATGATCTCAAGTGTGACTTACTAAAACAGAATACACAATTCATCAATCACATTGTTTCCCATAAAAAAAAAGGAACATCATTAATTGTAAATATTTGGGAGGAACTTTAGGCCTACAAAATAGAATTTAATTAAAGATCTCTCTGAACACCACTGTAGACAAAAAAAATACTGTTAATAATGAATTTTAAACATTTTTAATAATTAATGCAATAGTTTAAAATCCACTTTTAGTATGTCCTGAACAAGGAAATGTATTGATATGTTAGCAGTAGAAATTAGGAAAGGATTTAGAATTGATAAAGACGTGCTCAATGCTAATGGGAATTTACTAGGAAGAAGGAATACAAATGAGAGGTGTAAAGATCACTTTTCAAATAAATCATAAGAAAAAGTTAAAAGAATGAAATATGAGCAGAAATTTAAATGTAATATTGACTTGAAGGGCAAGGGCACTGACCTAGGATCCAGAGATAGTTTCTTATGCCTAACTATCTCTGGTGATATTTGGCTGTGTGTCTCTGGAAACATTCCAGTCACTGTTCAATTCCTCAGTTTTAGCATGTACAACAGAGAGGATTAGAACAAATGATATTGGTTACTCATTCTAGCTTTAAATTCAAAATTCTAATACAAAATTAACAATTTCCCATACTGACAGATAAAGGAGCCTGATAAGGAAGCAAACTATCTTGATACTGGGGAAGTAAAAAGTAAGCAGATTAGGAAAAAAGAAAATTAAAATCAAAATGGTTATGTAGTAAATAGATGAAAATAATATAAACACATATTCCATCTATCAATAGAATAATCTGTCCAAAATAGAAAAAAAAGATAAACCATTATTTGCTCAATTACATGGCACTTTCTTAGACCACATAAGTTACAAAAGACATATGATTTGGTGTTTAACACTTTGATGTACAGAGTATCAAAGAACAGCATCATTTCTAATTTAATGATGAAATAGATACCATAATTTAATAGTACTAGATCTCTAGGCACATAACATGGCCTAAGTCTCGAATATTTCTCTGAAATTTCTTAATGTTTCCTCTGCATCCAGCATGAGGGAGAATCTATAGATCCCCATAGAGCCAATTCATTTACAAAATCTTCCTGTAATGCACAAGATGACTGTACAATCTTTTTATTGCCATTTTCATTTCTTTGTTCCTGAATGTATAGATGACTGGATTCAGAAAAGGAGTGATAAATGCATCAAAAATAGCAAGATATTTGTCCAGGTGTGATGTGGGAGAAGGCCATGTGTAGAAAAACATCAGCGGCCCAAAGAACAAAACCACCACAGTGATATGAGCTGACAAAGTGGAGAGGGCCTTGTATGAACCACCTGCAGAGTGCTTCCAGACAGTGAACAGGATAAATATGTAGGAAATGACCAGCAAGACAAAAGATCCCACAGAAATAAGCCCACTGTTGACAGTAACCATGATCTCCAGTTCTAGTGTATTTATGCAGGCAAGTCTAAGGAGCCGAGGAAGATCACAATAAAAACTGTCCAATACATTAGGGCCACAAAAAGGCAAATCTACCACAAAAACTAATTGAATCAATGAGTGGATAAAGCCAACAATCCAGGAAGTGACTATAAAGTATAGACACATTCTTGGACTCATGATAGTCAGGTAGTGGAGAGGCTTACATATAGCCACATATCTATCAAAGGCCATAGTGATAAGCAGTACCATCTCAGCGGCTCCAACAGCATGAGTGAAGAAGATCTGAGTAATACATCCACAAAAGGAGATGGCTTTGTGCTTCTTGAAAATATCACAAATCATTTTAGGGGCTGTGATTGAGCAAAAAAACATATCAACGGCAGAGAGGTTAGCCAGGAGGAAATACATAGGGGAGTGCAGGTGAGCATCCAAGGTTATAGTGAACACAATGACAAGGTTTCCCATCATGCCAGCCAAGTAGAACAAAAAGGAGAAGACAAAAAGGGGAAGCTGAATCTCCCATGAATTACTGAGTCCCAGGAACACAAACTCTGATACTGTGGAGTGATTCATTCCATCCATTGTCTCAAACACCAATGTCCATGTTCATGTTATCTAAAAGGAAGAAAAATGGTGGGGGGTGGGGGAATGTATAGCTAAGTGTTAGTATTCAAGACAGAAAGTCTTCAGTCCATGAAAACAATCATAATATTAACATCTCACACAACCAAATAATCTTCATCACATGTACACCCGACTTCTACTTAAAGCAGTCAGCTGGTTCCCACATGACATATGGTTTTCAAAACTACTATTACAAGTTTAATTATATTTCTGGATCTCTTTTACTTTTTCTTTCTTTAGGATTACATGCATATTACTTCAATAACATATGTTATCTTCAAATAAGTTTGACTATGATTTCTTATGAATTAATAGTATTTCAGTAGTCCAGAAGATGCCCAGTCTAATTAGCATATTATCCTTTTATTGAAATAGATAGTCATCTTTACATGCTTTTAAATACCAAGTTAACAACTTCACAACTGGTTCACCTTTTTTATTTAAGTACTAGAGGCCTGATGCACAAAACTCATGCAGGAGTAGTTCTTCCTTTCCCCCGCTGCCAGCCTCAGCTTCACTCTGGCACCTGGGGACCCAGGTTTCCCTCACAGCCCTGGCTTTGTCCAGAAGGTTGTCTGGTCTAATAAGATATTGTGCTTTTATTATTGTAGATAGAAGTTATATATTAGTTACATTAGTTTCAGGTATACAATACAGTGACTCAACATTTTTATACCTTAAATGTGATCACCTCATTAATGTTAGTAACCATCTGTCACTGTGCAAACTTACCACAATATTATTGACTACCGGTATATTCAAACTTTCATCTTTCTTACCCACCATGCATGATTTCTTTCCCTCTGGAAATCATCCCTTCAGCCTATGTTTCTATTAGTCTGTTTTGTTTGTTCACTCATTTGTGTGTGTTTTTTAGATTCCACATATAGGTGGAATGATATGATATTTATCTTTGACTTATTTCACTATCATAATTATTTGGACTAATTAACAAGCAGCTCAGAAACAATGATGGAAGGAAAATTTCATGGCTTTTTTCACTCAGACAATAAATACACACATAGTATCTATAAAGTGCTAAGACTTAGAGATAATATAAAGATGTGGAAGTAAGGAATGAAAAAATTTAACATATATAAAATGATACCATAAGTTTATCAGGACAATTTTAAGAGTTGTATAAACTGGTTTATGACATAACCAAATATCTGTGCCATGAACTATGAACTAACTAATCAAACTGTTTTTAGAACTATGCAGAAAAATGAAGCAAAAAGATTACTAAGGGAAGAAATTCTTCTAACCAAGTTTTTTAAGGCCCCCATTAAGTGGGAATGACAATGAGAATATATCAATATTATGAAGTAAAATATAAGTGGTGCTTCTTCTACATTAAAGTTTGAATAGCAAAAACTAACAAACAAGAACAGCAAAAGAAATAGAGATAAATTTGACTGTTTATGAATTTATAAGAAATAGAGTTAGCAAAATTAGAAGAAGATTTATGAGGTCATTTAGAAAAACAATATGAAATTTTGTATGACCAAATCTAATCGAAGGCAAGAAGGACACTTTAAAAAAAATGTTAAGTACATTTTTAAAATAAAAAATAAAATTCACAGAAAGACAAGAAAAAAAGGAAAGCAAAACAAAATTGGACTTAGGATACAGCAGATAAGCAAGATCAGTTAAATGAAAAATTATGACAAAGAGAAAGAAATGGGAGAACAAGAGCTTGTTCAGATTTGTAATCTTAAAAACCCCAGGACCCAAAATTAATTTGTAATTGCACCTAGCATTAGGTTTTCTTTCTTTTATACTAATATACTGAATTCCTTAGTTTTACTTACATTGCTAAGGGAAGGGTACTCCATTAAGCTGTTACAAACAAGTTACCAGATGGTGCTCCTTAACTCCTATTTTATGAGGCAAGAAATGAATATTTTGGCAACAAAGATATTAGTGACCCATTTTAAATCTGATTTATTACCCAAAAGAATGATTAGCTTGGCTAGGTTGCTGCAGAAGATAGGTAAAGAGCAGATGAGCTCAGCAGGAGAGAGCAGACCCCAAGAATAAGAGCTAAAGCTGAGAACAGAAGAAATGGGGTCAAAGACAAAATGTGCCTACTTTACAATCCCTTAAAGAGTAAAGAGACAAAATAATACCAAACAGAAAATATCAGCAGATCTGAAAACTTACCCAGGTCCTGTCTTCAAGTCTTAAAATTTCTTAGCTACCTATTGGTTCAGTTATATAATCTCAGAATGGCTTCTAGTGAGAGATACTAGGTTCTGGGTGCTTGATCACTTTGAAGCATCTCAGACCCTCCATGTCTCCTAAGACCATTGCCATTATTAGGTTTTTCATTTTGAGTCCCCTAGTCTGATCTACCTATTACTTAGACTACTTAAATAATCATATATAACAAATGCAGATTCTTAATGAAATGATGATTTAAGTATCTTCAGCTATATGGATTTAGAATTGGGCAGCCTCTTAAAATAGAGTCATAGTGATGTCACATTTTAAAATTTGGGGCGGGTTGCCGGGACCGGTTTGGCTCAATGGATAGAGCATCGGCTTGGGGACTGAAGGGTCCCAGGTTTGATTCCAGTCAAGGGCATGTACCTTGGTTGCGGGCAGATCCCCAATAGGGGGTGTGCAAGAGGCAGCTGATCGATGACTCTCTCTCATCAATGTTTCTAACTATCTCTCTCCCTTCCTCTCTGTACAAAATCAATAAAATATATTTTTAAATAAATAAATAAATAAAATTTGGGGTGGGGGTGGGAGTGACAGAGAGAGAGAAGTTCATTATTCCCAATTAATAAAATAATTTTGGCTGGAAGAGATCTAAAAATATATTCTGACCCAATTCCTTTGTCTTGTTTCTCCATCCAGGATATGTAAGTTTTTATGTGTTTGTTTTTTATCAGTTCACTAGGTTTTAGAATTCATTTTCTTCCTTGGTTTCCTGTTTTTTATTAACATAACTAGAAGTCTAGTGCACAAATCCGGACATGGGTGGGATCCCTCTGAATGGCCTGCAGGGATCAGGCTGAAACCTGCAGTCCAACGTGACCTATAGCTCCTGTCTGCTGCTCCCCCTCATCCTGGTCCCACTGCGCCTGCCACAGGCTTGCACCGCCACAGCAGCACTCGCCAGCTGTGAGCCCTGTATCTGGCACCCTCCTGAGGAGAGTGGCCTAAAGCAGTGTTTCCCAACCTTCTCTCATGATGAGAATCACCTGGTGGAGTTGTTAAGACACAGATTCCTGAATCCCAACTAAGAAGTGCTAAACTACAATAGAATTTTTGAGAACATATAGGTAAAATTGCATACCTAACTTAGTGCTCTGTATATAAAATCTGTCTTAGAGCACTAGTTAAGTATACAATTTTACCTATGTGGTCCCAAAAATTCTAGTTTAGCACTTCTTAGTTGGGATTCAGGAATCTGTGTTTTAACAACTCCACCAGGTGATTCTCATCATGAGAGAAGGTTGGGAAACACTGGCCTAAAGGATCAGACTAAAACCAGCTCTCCAATATCCCCTGAGAGGTCCCAGATTTCGAGAGGGCACAGGCCAGGCCGAGGAACCTTACCAGTGCATGGTGGGAAGGCTCCAGGGTGTGGCTGGCCCGTATCACCCAGTCCCCATAGGCCGGCCCCAGCATCAAGCTAACCTACCAGAGCATCTTCCCCTGGTGGTCAGTGCACATCATAGGGACTGGCTGACCAGTTGACTGTCTGCCCCCTGGTGGTCAGTGCATGGCATAGCAAGGGGTTGAGCGACCTTAGCATATCATTAGCATATTATGCTTTGATTAGTTGAACAGTTGACTGGTCACTAGACACCTAGTATATTAGGCTTTTGTTATATAGGATAGCACAAAAGTTATTCATTACAAAAAAAATTTTTCCTCTTTCAATTAAGCCAATATCCATTTAATTCTTTCTCTGTGAATATAAAGGTCTTAGAAAACCTCTCAGAAAAATGTTAATATCCTTGAACTTGGTGAAATCAAATAAGGACCACTCATCTGTACCCTCTAAACCACATGTGTCAAACACAAGGCCCGCGGGCCAAATCCGTCCCGCCAGGCCTTGCAATGTGGCCCGCACCGCGCTGTCATCACTGCACTCCGCTGCGTTTCCATCACAATGACAGTTTATGACTGTTCAGTAAACCATTCGGCCCGCGATTTAGGCTGGATTTTAGATTTTGGCCCCTTCTCTGATTGAGTTCGACACCCCTACTCTAGATCTATTCGCCTCAATTCCTTTAGCCTGTCCTCATAGGATTTACCTTTTATCCCTTTATCTTTGTCACTCTGTCCAACCACTCCCACTTCACCACAAACATTTCATGATAGTTTCCTACAAAATTTTCTTTAAAATCTTTTAAAACACAAATTTAAAAAAAAAAAAAACATTTCCAAAATGTTTAAAAACAAAAAACAAAAAACAGAAGGATTGATTGCTGGCTGTTAGAGATTATACATTTAGTCTTTTTCCTCTGTTCCTCCATCACCTAGTTTAGACAACATTATATTATTTTAGGGTGAGATATTTAGATATTTTTCTTCTCACCAAGTTTTCAAGCACTCTTTCTCCACATTGATTCTATGAAGCTGGGGTTTTATTTTCTTAACTTTACTTATTACTACTACCTAATGAACTTTATCCTCTTCATTTCTTAGTTATCTAAAGACAGAAGTAAAGCAGAAAACAAACTTGTTATGAGACAACACACACATTTGTCTTCACTGTCAGTACTAGTAACTGTCTCTAAAGATCCCTGGGTCCAGTTAACAAATCAACCTACATCCCAGTCCTGGCCACAATGTGGACTCCAGACTCTGCAATGTATCTTCAGTCAAACCTTTGGATCTTCAGGTCATTTCCAAGTCCTAGATAAAAAAAAGTAGGTTAATAATTCTTGCTCTCCATATCCACAACCACCCCTATTTATTCTCTTGTTGTGCTCATCATGTCACTACCACCACCATCTGT